ATAGATATTTGTCAGAAACAAGTATTAAGCTATAGTTGCTAGTCTACCAGTTCATTATTTGCAATTAGTCCAAAACTAAATAAAAAGGGTTCTTTTGATTGTTGCAGACTGATGGGGATGATCAAGCAGTGTTTGTTAATGAGTTTGTCTACTGATTGGCAGCCATCCTTTCAATGTCTCTTGTTCCTAACATGTTTATTGAAATTAGAAGTCAATTTCATAAAAGGAGCATTTGAAAAGGATGTTTAAAGGACCATTTCATTGCTAAAGTGGTAGCCAGCAGTTGGCACTTTCGACTTTCAAATCTCACCTTTACATCACTTCTGAATATAAGTGTATTTTGGCTTGTTGCATTTTCTGGTATCATTTAACCTGCAACCTGCCCTAAGAAACAGATAGATGTAAAAGTATCTGGCAGCTTGAAACTGGGGACAGCTTCATTAAGAGTGTAATTATTGATAGAATATGCAATATTAAGAAAATGCCTTTACTTTGTGAATATGGTTATGGTGATTAAAGTATTTATTCAGCAGTCAGTGTGCATCTGGAATTTCTATATGTTGAATGATTCACGTTTTTTCAGAGAAGACATTTTCACATTTCTCTTAAGTAATGTATACTTCTTTACTTTGTAAATGCAGAAAGTCAGATACTGTGTAATAATACATGTTGTTGGCATTACATTCATTTGATGGAACTATCGTCTCATTTGCGGTTTGGGTGCCAAATCTCCTCAGCTTTGCTGCTGAGTTTTAACACACAGATAATTTACAAGACAACACCCATATATTTGTGCTAAATAATCTTAAGTAGAATGTTTATATTCACTGCTGTAACTACAAGTTCAAATGCAGAGATAAATCCTATGTTATTTGCCTGTGTTTCTCAGCACACAGTACATTTTTTTTGATGGAGTATTTTTTTTCTTGTCTCACTGATGGACTAGCTGTATATTGCTTAGCATGTCTAATAGCAGTGTTTTACTGTGGCAGAGGACAGATTTTATATCTACTACATTTCAATATTTATGCTAATTTGTTTAGCTGAGACAAGGTTTGAAACAATGTGGGTGTTAAAGGGACATAAGGGATCATCAGGTGCCTTCACTTCCAAATCAGTAATTTGGGCTCAGAGTATGGAAATAAGCTGTTCGATTCAGGCCAAATATTACACTTAGGTGAGTGTACAGTGAGTATGAAAATAGGTGAGTGTTCTCAAATCTTCCTGATACGAAGGTTTGAGGTGGTGTAAAGGAGTGTGGAATTTTTCCTCACATGAAAAATTGCTATAAATACACTTCAGTGATTTTTGTTTGGAGATTTTTTTTCTTGCTGAAGTGTCTGGTTTTATAGTTCTTCATGTCTTGATAGCTGTGACCTTGCTAGCTGATTCATTACACTTGCCTGGCTTCAAGATGTTTCAACAGTGTTTTGATATAAAAGAAAAAAAATCCACCTTAAACCCCTGTATTGATACATTCTGCACTGAGTAGCAGCCTTATTAATAAAGACGGTAGTGGGACTGAGACATAAGTAGTCATAGAAATTAACTATTCCCTTACAGCAACGGTATTTGTTTGGAACAAAAGTGAATCCTGATGTTAAGAAGTAGCTTTCTGTGACATAGTCTTTTTTTATATTTATTCTTTCCATAAATGGAAAGATGCTTTTAATCCCCATGCCTCTCACTCAATTTTTGGAATTGTAAACTGATTTAAATTCAGTTCATCTAAATGTGGAACTAAAATTTTCCACAGATACTTTCATTTACTGTATTCACCCAATTTATAACATTATCTAATTCCACTTACTGTGTTACACATAAATGTGACAAGTTGTCATTTGAAAAGAAATTGGATAACGAAAGCTGCAAACTAGAAAATGATAGAATCTTAATTTTTAGTTTCCTGGCTCTTAATTCTTGGTTTCTCAGTTATACAACCTCCCAGATTGACAACTAAAATTATATATGTATATATGTACATGTATATGTGTGTGTATATGCATAAATTAAAGTCAGGAGTGCTTATTTTTGGATGGAGATCTTTAATATGTGGATCATGATATAAAAGAAAACCACAAATGTGTGTTTACAAAAGTGGCAGAACAAGTTATGGAGGCTTAATATTTAACTCTTCTTTTGAACATCAAAGAAAACTCACAATGTCTTGTGTTCTTCTTCAGTGGGTACACTCTTTACTACGAATCTGTGCCATCATCAGTGTTATTTCTGTTTGTATGAACACTCCAAAGACCTTCGAGCATTATCCTCCTCTCCAGTATGTGACATTTACTCTCGATACTCTATTGATGTTTCTGTACACTGCAGAGATGATAGCAAAAATGCATATCCGTGGGATAGTTAAGGTAAGCATTTAGATAGTGCTCTGCATGTGCTTCAGAAAATGGTCTGAATATATACTGACTGTATTTGCTATTTGTTTTTTAACTTTTCAGCTCTTTCTGCTATGATTGGTTTTAAGTGCAGGCAATACAATGTCGTATAAACTGAAAAGACAGGCTGACAAAGATGCAGCTTTACTGCATATTTGATCCCCCAAAATATAATGCTAACTTTCATAATAATGGTTTCCTAATAAGAAATAGTTTAATAGTGTTAATACAAAGAATAAAACGAAAAATAAGCTACATATACATTAGCAAGAGTATTTTGTAAATGTCTAGGTATCCATATATGGATTTAGAAATTTGATTTTCACTTCAGAATGCTGGATGAGTTGTTATGTGGTTACTTAATTTAAATAAGAACTTATGTCTTACTGCAAGCTAAATGAGAAAGTCATTAGCATTATCAAATTTTTTTCTTAATATAAAACATTGGTAAACAAATGCTTCTGTTATCATATGGTTACTTTTGTAGCTGGACTAATTTGTGAAAGTAGATTTGATACTGGAGAAGGTAAAATTGCAGAATTTTTCAGTAATAATTTTTTATACCCTTATTTTACTCTTTTCAATTTTCTATAAAAAGATACAAATTCAGCTTACATACAGAAAACCCATTTGCAGACCTTACTGAAAATACAGTTATGTCACTGTTGCACAGAATAGGTAATCATTGTGTTATCCGTGAAAGATCTAGTGACTGCAGAGACATATGAAGTTGTACTTCTCTCTTCATTTTGTTCTGAGTTTGCAAATGGCATATTTTGTTCACTATCAAACTAAGCTATTATAGAATCATAAAATCATAGAATTGTTAGGGTTGGAAAGGACCTTAAGATCATCTAGTTCCAACCTCCCTGCCATGGGCAGGGACACCTCACAATAAACCATCTCACCCAAGGTTCTGTCCAATCTCACCTTGAACACTGCCAGGGATGGAGCATTCACAACTTCCTTGGGAAACCCATTCCAGTGCCTCACCACCCTTACATTAAAGAACTTCTTCCTTATATCCAGTCTAAACTCTCTCTGTTTAAGTGTTAACCCATTACCCCTTGTCCTATCACTACAGTCCCTAATGAAGAGTCCTCCTCCAGCATTCTTAAAGGCTCCTTTCAGATACTGGAAGGCTGCTATGAGGTCTCCACGCAGCCTTCTCTTCTCCAGCCTGAACAGCCCCGACTTTCTCAGCCTATCTTCATGCAGGAGGTGCTCCAGTCCCCTGATCATCCTCGTGGCCCTCCTCTGGACTTGTTCCAACAGTTCCATGTCCTTTTTATGTTGACACCAGAACTGCACACAATACTCCAGGTGAGGTCTCAAAAGAGCAGAGAGGCAGGATCACCTCCTTCGACCTGCTGGTCACACTCCTTTTGATGCAGCCTAGGATATGGTTGGCTTTCTGGGCTCCGAGCACACACTGAAGCCGGCTCATGTTCACTTTCTCATTGACCAGCACCCCCAAGTTCTTCTCCGCAGGGCTGCTCTGAATCTCTTCTCTGCCCAACCTGTAGCTGTGCCTGGGATTGCTCCGACCCAGGTGTAGGACCTTGCACTTGCTATGTTTACACTTCATGAGGTTGGCAACACAACCATGTCATCCGTCTGGATGGCATTCCTTCCCTCCAGGGTATCAACTGAACTACACAACCTGGTGTCATCGGCAAACTTGCTGAGGGCGCTCTCAATCCCACTGTCCATGTCACCATCAAAGATGTTGAACAAGACCAGTCCCAACACCAATCCTGAGGAACACCACTCGTTACTGGTCTCCAGCTGGACGTTGAGCCATTGACCACAACCCTTTGCATGTGGCCATCCATCCAGTTCTTTATCCACCGAGTGGTCCATCCATCAAATTGATGCCTCTCCAATTTAGAGACAAGGATGTTGTGTGGGACAGTGTTGAATGCTTTGCACAAGTCCAGGTAAATGACGTCAACTGCTCTACCCCTGTCCATCAGTTCTGTATCCCCATCATAGAAGGCCACCAAATTGGTCAGGGAGGATTTCCCCTTAGTGAAGCCATGCTGGCTGTCAGCAGGCACCTTGTTGATTTTCATGTGCCTTAGCATGCCTTCCAGGAGAATCTGCTCCAAGATTTTGCCAGGCACAGAGGGGAGACTGACTGGTCTGTATTTTCCTGTTGTGGTTTAAGCCCAGGCCGTAAATCAGAACCACGCAGGTTACCCCCCACCGCCCCCCTTTGCTCCCGAAGGGATGGGAAGGGGAATCGAAAGAATGTAACTCCCACAGGTTGAGATAAGAAGAGTCCAGTAACCAAGGTATAACACAAATCACTACTGCTACTACCAATAATAATAATGTTAAGCAAAATAACAAGGGAAGAGAATACAATACCACCCTCCAACCGGTATCTAGCCCGACCCTGCAGTGCACTAGTCCTTCCGGGTAACTCTCAGTTACATTGTGGGCATGACGTGCTGTGGTATGGAATACCTCTTTGGCTAGTTTGGGTCAGGTGTCTTGTCTCTGTTTCCTCCTGGCTTTCCCTTCCTCCCTGGCAGAGCATGAGACTCAGAAAGTCCTTGGTCAGACTAAACATTTGAGCAGTAACTAAAAACATTGGTGCCATCAGTTCCCAGTCTGAAAGTCAAAAAACACAGCACTGCACCAGCCACCAAGAAGGAGAAAAATGGCTGCTACTGCTGAACCCAGGACAGTATCCACCCCTTATTCCATACCATTCACGTCACTCTCAGATCCCACATTTTCAATATACCATCACTCTTATCTTAGTGCATGGACCAATCCCTATAAAGCTGCTGCGTCCATCTGGTCCATGATGTCAGGCTCCATCTCTTGTAACAGTCTTACAGAGCAGGAGAGACTGTGTGCAGTGTTCACACTCGTGAATAATCTGGCCAATAGCATCCATTGCTAAGTCCACCCCTCGATCGTGAGTCCATCTGTATGTTGCATCTCTGCCCTGATGGCTGGAAGTGTCATGGGCCCACCAGGCCAAAAATAATTCACTGTCCCCTTCAGCAGTTTCTGCAGCTTGTTGCTGGGGACTCCATATAGCTGCCTTCCATCTCCGATGCTTCCAAAGCACTGGAGGGGCCCAGTGGACCAGATACTTGCTCATACTGTCCCACACACCCTGCCACTCATGACTGTACAGCCTTGGAGAAAACCTCTTGGTCCTCCTCTGTCGTTGTCTAACCCTAGATAAGACCCAAACCCGACTCTGCTCAACTTTCTAAATCAGACAAAATGGTCGTGGTTAAAACACACTCTGTATGTGTGCCAACATGCTGATCCCCATCACAATCAGCAGGCAGGTCCCAAGGGTACCCAAAGGCCTTCAGAACTCTCAAATGATGCTACTGTACTTGTCACTGGAGCTGGTGTAGCTGCTGTGCTTGCTGGCCCTCTTACCACCAGCTTCTCTTTTTCTGAGTCCAGATCTTCTGCCTTGCTGGAAAGTGCTGTGTGGTCTCCTGCATCCTCCACTTGTCCTGGGTGCCCAAGGCTGGACCCAGCTGAGGCTCCCAAAGGTGGTATCTTACTCTCCACGTCATCCTGGGGCTCAGGCTCACGGGGCTCGGCGGGCAGCTGCTGGAGGGTGCTCTCGGCTGCCGCAGGGCTGGGCTTAGCCACGGGGCTTGGCTCTTCTGCCGCCTCCTCCCACTGCTTGGCAGCCTTCTCTTTCCCCTTCTCGACCGCCCCGACCTCCTCCACTGGCAGCCGCTCCCTCCTGGCCTCCATCCCCTCTCTTGCCGCCGCTTGGTCCCCCGGCCCGCTCTTCTGGGTGCTTTGGCCACTGGTGGCTCCTGGGGCAGCTCCCCCTCGGCTCCCCACAGCTTCACGAAGATGGAAGCGAGGATGAGGGCCAGAATGGTGAAGAGCAGTGGGACAGCCAGGTACAAGTCCACAGCCACGTCCATCCTGCCCTGCTGCCGAAACCTGCCTGTATTACAAGTAATTACCATAAAGTACAATGAGACAAAAAACTTAGCCCAAGGCCCCCAGCTGTTAAACACTAACACAGCAAATACCAGCTGCAAGTAAGGCACAACATGCTGAAACTGTGAGATCAAGAGCAACAAAATTGAGAGCCAATAAATCAGCATTGTGACGAGTGACTATTAATCCGAAACAATGAATGCTTATCACAAATACGATTATACATACTCCGGTCAGATCTGTCATCGTGCACCAGCAACCAAGAAGGATAAAAAATGACTGCTGCTGCTGATCCCAGGACATTTCTGAATTTCCAAATTCCTGATTATGTCGTCATACTTAACAAATATTAATAGTAAATATTAAAGTATCATTAATATTTAGAAAATTGCTGAAATAAGATGATTTTAAGAAAATCTTCATCTGTTGTGTAAGGCCAAAGTAATCCTTTGTGAAGTGCTGTTTCCAGCCACTACCTGTGCTCTTTTATTCAAAGATGTCCATTAAGCAGGTGGAGTGAGGGCATAGGATGGAGAATGAGGAATTATTGGTCAGTGTGCACACTTGAATGGTGTGGGAGTAACAAGTTACTGTACAACCAGTACAGGCTTTGCAAAAAATGGACACTTAGATACTAATGCAGAGAGAGGGAGGGGTGGCCAACAGTGTGACTGTTTTACAAAACTTGATTTCTCAGTCTTTGTGTATGGAAATAGAAACTTCATTCACAGTTGACACCTAGGGGCTATGAAGACTATGTTGCTGCATATTTTACTGTCTTTCACTGGGTTGGTTAAATTTACAGATATGGAATGGAATGGAATAGTTGGAAGGGACCTACATTGATCATCTAGTCCAACTGCCTGACCACTTCAGAGCTGACAAAAAGTTAAAGCATGTTGTTAAAGGGTGTTGTCCAAATGCCTCTTCAACACTGACAGACCAACCCAAGTGAAATAAGGCACTGTTTAGAAAACTGTTAGCATTTATTAAAGATGTTTGTAAATGAAACATCTTTATATGAGGAAATTTATTTATAAACTGTAGTCCTAATTTATGTGCATTCATGACTTTTAGTGAACATAGGATCAATGAATGTATTGCCATATGGTTCTGCTAAACTTTACCATAAGTCAGTATTTCTGTAAAAGGCTTTGGAGTGGAAATGCTAATAAACTTTTGAACCATGATTAATGCAGAATTTTAGTCCAGTGAGAAATATTTTATTAGGTAGCAAATACTCTGTTACCTGGAGTTTATTAGAAAATACATAATAAGGTGATTGCTGGAATACCTGGAGTATGAAAATTTGCAGGCAAAGTTACTTTGTTCTTTTTAATGTAGTTGATCTTAATTCTTTCATATCATGGGCACATTTTCCTGAAAGTTTCTCAGATTTTGGCATATCATCCTCTTTGGTTATTTTGTTATATGGAATGCCTCTTATTATTTGGGATCATAAAACTGGAACTTCCATGTTTAGCTTGAAATTATCTTTATTTCACTGCCTGCTACTGGTGATTTATATTTCTATAAAGAGTCTAAAAGTTTAACATGTATGCAACCATAATATACATCAGTTTTGTGAGTGAAATTATAGCCTTTTAAGAAATACATGCAATTTTTTCTCACCACAGTACCACACTGTATACCAGTGTATAAAATGTAATAAATTTAGTGCAATGATAAAACTTACTGAATTCAATTTAACACTGGTGTTTTCATGATCCTTTTCAGAATTCCACTTTCTTCAATTGATCCTAGATTTGTTTGCATGAACTTTATTTCCCAGAGTGTAAATAGAGTTCAGAGACTCTTTGGTTCTGATTTCTTTCATGTCTCAGGCTCCTTGGTCAGAAAGAGCTCTTGTTATAATCAGCTGCATCAAGGAAGCATTACGTGCAGTTTACATCTGCTGCATAACTTATTGATTGGCATGCTTCTGGTAGCACCATGAATTAACTACTGTTTGTGTCTGTCAAAATAGTTCAGCTTGTAACCTGACTGACAAGACTCATGGTCCCTCAGAGTAAAAGCTTACATTTACGTGCCCACTTGCATGTCACTTACAAACATGACTGTATGTGCTTGACGTAGGAAAGTGTCCAAAATGATCTCCTCATTGAAAAATGGGGGTGAATTAGGTAACTGTCAAGCTTAAGACATGTGACATTAGATGAGCATCAGACTTCTGAGAGAAGTCAGGGAGCCTAACTTGTGGCGCAAGAACTTTGCATTTCTTTTAATCAGTGTGATGCAAGAAATACCTTCTGTTTTCTAATAAGGTGTATTCTGAAGGTTATCTCACATTGGTATGAACAAGGTAAGGATACCTTACATTAAAGGTGTCTTTATTGGAAGCTTTTACTTTCAGCCTTTGTGTTAGGAGATGGAATAAGGAAAGAGAGAAATATTACTGATAAATGCGGGTATTAGACACAATTGCACTTGTGGCATTCTATATAATAAAATAACCAAAGAGGATGATATGCCAAAATCTGAGAAACTTTCAGGAAAATGTGTCCATGATATGAAAGAATTAACATCAACTACACTAAAAAGAACGAAGTAACAGAGGTCTCATGTGAAATTTCAGCTTCTAGGGAATTGGAGATAAATGGATATTTTTTCACTCCATGGACAATGTGAGGGTATATGAACTTATTTTCATTTTACCACATCCTCATTGCAGCTTCTAATCACAGTCATGATGGTATTAGAAAACCTACATTGAAATCATGTTGCGAAAAGGAGGCATGCTTTATCCTGTTTTTCAGTTAAAAGATTGTAAAATAAGAAAGTGGGAGAGTTCTCTCTCCTGTCTGTTAAAAAAAAGCCTATTTGACACTTATTTTAGTATCATCATCTGAAAATTAGAATTTTTTTTATATAGCTCAAGTAGTGCACTGAGTTTAATAGAAATGTCTTTCTTTTCACTGTGCAGTTTGTGACACATGTCAGCTAACAAAGGAGATTATTGAAAGTCGGAAGTAATGGCCCTTGACATTTCCCCCATTGTTAAATCAATTACATTCCCAGCAAAACATTTGTACCAGCTGAAGTAGTTGTGAGTGGATTTGTCAGACTTTATTTCAGCAGCACTGAGCACTACTCACTAACTTCAGTACCCCTGCAAAGGGGCTGAAGTGAATGGTTGCACCATTAGCTTTCAGCACTCTTCATGAATTCATGCAGGAACTGAAACAAAGCTTAATCTTCTACCAAAGCAGTTGCGGATAGATGGGAGCCATTTCCTTTGCTTCTGCCTAGTACTAAAGGCCAGATTACTGAGTTAACTTAAATCACTGGCTTTCAGTTTGTCAGGTGTTCCCAGGCAGTATTTGCCCTGTGCAGGGAGCACGTTTTCCTCCTTTTTCTGATAGGGGCTTTGTTTGCTGTAGTTGCTATCTGCTCATGAGAAGAGGATGGAGGAGAGAGCAGGCTGGTGCCTTACCTCAGCCATGTGTGCTTTATTCTGTTCATTCAGTTCTCTTCCAATATAAGGAACTTTCCACCTCTTGTGCAAGCACTGTGAGGTGGAGATGGGCTTTTTATGCTGTAATGAAAAACTCAGGTTGCCATGATCTAAAGGGGGGTCTGCAACTGTTACTGGTGGCAGTAGCTGACATCCATTTGTGTCTTCTGCTGCTTTTTATCTTTGCTTTCATGAAATAGACTTTTGATCTTAAAATACAAACACTTTTAGTAGCATTCATCAACACTAATTTGAGGGTCTGCAACTGTCTGTAATTCATTGTGTCTAAAATAGGCTCCTCCAAAAGGTAATTTATCTGGCCTGTTTCTTTCCATTGACTGAAAGGGAAACTTTACATAGGCTGACACCCAACCTTTAGGTCTCTCACAGTCAACAATTACTCTGACTCATTATTGTAGATTTTTTGTCAATGGACACTACAGAAAAACTGACAACTGTATGCCAGCTTATTCTTCAACATGGCAGTTATGTCATTTATGCTTAAATGAGTTTCTTCTGTAATCATCCTAATTCAGAAGTTTGTCCTGAGTTATGGATTACAGAACTGTTGTTTTACTGTACCTCATTACAAATACCTGTTTTGCTGCCTTTTCAGTACTTTTAATATTGAACATTCCACTTTCATCTACAAGAATGGAGAAATTACGAGTTTAATCCTTCTGATGATTGATGGAAATATGAATTGAATTGCAGTGAAACAGTGTCAGCTGGCTCACCAGCTTTTAGTATCTTTGTCAGGGGAGTTTATGCTACATTACAAACTGAAAACAGAAGGTGGAAATTGTGACATTACTGTGCTCTGTGACTTTAGATACGCTGTCTACCCATGGTGTGTAAATGAGTTAAGGATCAGGAAGCTGTGTTATTTTCAAAGGTCAGGTAGTAAAACAGAATATGTGGCTCCTGTCATCCCATGTCAGCATACTCTGGTGTGCTTGGAATGGCTGGTGGTGAAAGCTTAGTTTCGGGATGTGCAAGTCACAGACAGGAGTGAGAACTCAACCTTGAGGGGAGGGATGACCAGTGGAATTAGTGGCAGGGATGAGAAAATGACAAGATGTTTTGGCTAAACAGAGTGTAATTATGTGGAAGGAAAAAATAAAAAGAGAAAACTACTTACATGTGGTAGTAAAAAGCTCACAGAACAAACATGAAAAAAGGCCCAGTTAATTTAAGATTTGAGGATTTTGGGATTATAAAATAAACATTATTTTACATATCTATTAAAAATATAATTCTTTAGTATGTATAATTGTGTTGGAAACCTAGATGTGCAGTGTAGGTCCCATGCTATTCTGTGTTGCCAAAAAGTATTTTATTTCAAATTGTCTTAAAATTTAACCTCAAAAATACTGTGGTATTTTGGTGTTGGCAGCTGTGATTGTCTTAAGTATTATTTCATAGCAAACAGCATTAATATCCATTATTTGAATAAGACATTCAGTCTACAGAAGTTGATTCTTCTGTCTCACCTTTTTCCTGTGTTTGTCAGCTGCTGGTTTGCTAAGTGCATGTGTCCATCACAAGGACATCTGTTCCTGGCCTCCTGGAATCATGCTGCTAGTGAAGTGCTCCTATGCTGCTTCCAGTCACAGGAAATTAAAAAAAAATTAAAACTGATTATCATGAGGAAAACAAATACGAAGTTCCCTGCAGCAGAGTGCTGCCTGTGGGCCAATGAAGGTTAGAGACCATGGTGCTGGAATATACGTACCTGTTTCTATGGTTACTTGTGCCTGGT